ATTGCACTTTATCCCGAGTGAGAAAAGATTTTCTCAGAAACTGTTATAGATAGGGAAACCAAATATGGTATGTGTTTTCAGGACATATATGTCATGGTGGAGTTAAAAATAACAGGAACCAAATAGGAACAGAACACTGTGGCGGGGGATATTGATGAACATGTCTTCTTGTTGTTCAGTACTTTACCGAACGTATAAGACGACGGTTCATCTTGGTTGATTCCAATACACATACATGTATAAACAACTACATTTTTCCAACAAGCTTGTCACGAGTTGCAACGAATCCCCAACATTGCAAAAACATATCCCATATTTCATAATAAATATTTGATGACATTTATTAGCTAACGAAGTAATATATTTTCAGTTTATGTTTTCATAAACCATTGTTAGACTACTGTTTCCTGAATGTCTGATTGCAGAGTCGGCAGAGATAACATTTCATCCCTGCGCTGAATAACATAACATCAATGATTTCGTATTGTCGTCTACTGCTTTTTGTGAAGTTATTATTGTTAACGTATTTACTTATAATAACAGGGGCGGTGGGGTAACCTAGTGGTTAAAGCGTTCGCTCGTCACGCCGAGGATTCCTCACATGGGTACAATATGTGAAGCCCATTTCTGGTGTCCCCCGCCGTGATATTGCTGGAATATTGCTAAAAGCGGCGTTACACTAAATTCACCCACCCACTCACTCACTCACTTATAATAACAGATATATTTCTTAGGGTTGGGCACACTTTTTGTTCATACCTCCATTTTTGCAAAACTATGCTGAAGTCAATACTTACTTGCTTCATGTAAACGTCTACACAGAAATACGGAATTCCGATTGTGTGTAGTTGTAGATGCATATTTGACATATTGTCTCAAATCGTTGTTTCTCAGACCCGAGATACTACATTAAAACTCAAGTCTAGAATTATTTGCCATGTCAGTTTTGAATGTTGGATTTTGTACATATATATTGGAATAAATAACTGTGTTCTGGAATTACTTGTCAGTCCTCAACCTTCTAGAACTACTGAGATATACATAAATATAACATACATATCTTGATCCGAACAACCCGATTCCAGAGATCTAGTTGACTCTAGTTGACGACACCGAAAGTTTGATGGATAAACTGGTGAGAATAGAGACCGATCCTATTTCTCGACAACAGTTTGACAACGCTGAAATTGGTGTTGGTGGCGAGTTGTTGGAATGTTCACACTCTCAAGCTCGAGTTCGACAACATGTGTTGTCAAACTTTAGTTTGCCGTGTGAAGGCCGTTTTAACACATATTACAGTTGTGTGACAACAGTAATATAATACACCCATATGTCTCCAGTGTCTTGAAGTATGTGACTAGAACTAGTACACCAGTTGACAAGGAAACAATATAACACACCCATATGTCTCCAGTGTCTTGAAGTATGTGACTGGAACTAGTACACCAGTTGACAAGGAAACAATATAACACACCCATATGTCTCCAGTGTCTTGAAGTATGTGACTAGAACTAGTACACCAGTTGACAAGGAAACAATATAACACACCCATATGTCTCCAGTGTCAATTGAACCCATATGTCTCCAGTGTGACTAGAACTAGTACACCAGTTGACAAGGAAACAATATAACACACCCATATGTCTCCAGTGTCTTGAAGTATGTGACTGGAACTAGTACACCAGTTGACAAGGAAACAATATAACACACCCATATGTCTCCAGTGTCTTGAAGTATGTGACTGGAACTAGTACACCAGCTGACAAGGAAACAACCACGATTCATCCCAACCGTGTACATCTTTACGAGATGTAACGAGAATATTTCACGCCTTGTCAAAACAGCAAATGTATATATAGGTAAGGTAATATACAACGCTTGTTGTCACTCAAAATGCTCGTACAGTCTGCCTGTGGAAATAGATCCTGTAGGAATGTGCAGTAACGACTATCTGCTGTGGTGTTCTGTTTGGCGTTGTTGGGTGGTAGGATGGGTAGGTAGGTATATTTCGACAATGAAAACCCGTCAGCCCAACGGATTCCGAACCAGTCCTTGTTTCACTCTCTTAAAGCCGACTGTTAGGCAGGGAAACAACAAGTACCATCGTTTAACCTCTTTCGTTATGATAAGACCGCCCATCAAACAAGCGACCTTCTGCTCTCGGGGTTAAAAATTGGACCATGTAGTCATTCTGCGTGACATAGTGATAGAGTGAGTGAGTTTAGTTTTACGCCGAACTCAGCAATATTCCAGCTATATGGCAGCATTCTGTAAATAATCGAGTCTGGACCAGTCAATCTAGTGATCAACTAACAGCATGAGCATCGATCTGCGCAAATGGGAACCGATGACAGCGAGCCTGACCACCCGATCCCGTTAGTCTGCGTGACATAGAAGACATCAGACATTTTATATGGAGGTTAAGTTTTGAGATTCCGATTGTTTTTTCCCAAAAGGTTACGGGGTGTGTCCAGGCAACCATTCAAGATCAGCGAGGTGCCACGTGGATAAACTGTTCGTTTCCGTCCCATGGTGTAAACAATGAAGTTAGTTTCCACCAGATGGAGAACAAAGTTGCATAACTATGGTGATGTATGTCACTCCTAACGTGCCTGACGCGCTACGAAGCATACAAACACCTACACATTCAAGCTTCATTGTCGATATCGGTCGAGGGATCGCATTGGTTATGCACGGCCTTTACAAAGTTGTACAAAGATGTAAATGGACAAATCACTTTATCTGACAAAATTAACAGACGCTGAAGGTGTTTTGACGGGTTCCATTGTTAAGGGATGGAGTCTGCGAAAGATGGTACAATGTTACTCAATCGCCTTTACTAAGTGACGTTGCTATCGGTGGGACACGATATGCAAACACCGGGTGTCTTCATCACCTCAAAGGGATTCACCACATGCATAATAATATTAACATATAGTCTGAGTCAGAGTATCGATACTGCTTCTAGAAAGGTTTTCTTAGATTATGGATTGGTTGAGGTCACTTTTATGTACGAATATTCTGTATTTTTGGAATTTTAGAAGTTGATTTATAATTAGAAAAATATTGAACTTTATGGATGACAACTGCTTTATTATATTATGATGCGACATTTCGGTATAGATTCTTATACCGTTGTTAAGCACTCTTGCTTGAGAACCGTGATGCGACGTTTCACTATCTTGATTACTCTTGCTTGACAACGGTGTAAGTGCTAATAGCAAAACATCGCGTCATTCTTAAACCGTTTTCAAGCACTCTTGCTTGTCAACGGTATACCAAAACGTCGCATAATAATATAACAAAGAAGTTGTCATCCATAAAATATCATACTTTCCTTATGAGAATCGTTTAAATACTCAACAAAACAAGCTAAGGACCAACCCAATTTTCAATATTTTAGTGTTATATTGATCATGATATGAAATATTAAATACTTTAATATTGAAACTTGGGGTGGTCCTTAACGTTTTGTTGTTGATATATATGAAAAGAAACTATGAACACTATATATGATATACTCTAAGTTCATGAAATGCGTTAATCAAATGTAATTATTAATATCTTATAAATATTTGATCAAAATCATAGCGAAACGTCAATTAGTTCATACAACTTAAAAACCGCTTCCTACCCATGAACATGGTGTGAGTAAACGTTGAAAGTGTCAGGTTGTTTGTCGGACAATGAATTAATTCATAAACATGACGTATGCTGTTCTCTCTGCTGTCATGAAGTAATTAATAGACAAAGCACAACGCGACCGTTGAAGTCAGTGGGTCATCTTTCATGTACCAACCGACGATTTTCCCCAGGCACACTACACAGAGGCGGGAGAGACTTGTTATCCTGGGGGAATGAGATCGCAAATAGCTACAGAAGAACACTGTCTTTGAGACCTGATTGGTAATTAAAAATACACATGGTAAACTGCTTTGTCGTGTATCTATGACGTTGGGTCCGTAGATTGACAGAATCTGTTGTGGGTAGGAGTATGGGTGAGGAAACATCACATACTTTGTCAGTTTGGTTTAAATGTATGGATTGGAGGAGAGAAATAGTTGGAGAGGGACAGGGTGATAGAGGACGAGAGGAGAGATGAAACACACAGGTGGACGGTTTCATAAATTTAAAAGCATCAACTATATGGGAGAGAGAATGAGGTGGACGATGTCGTTTCAATGCAAATTGAAAGAGAGGAATACATTGCTAGACATGGCAAGCTCTGTATAGAAGCACGCACCATGGGAGAGAGAGAGACGAACATTTGAATGCATATGCTGTGAGAGTAGGACAGTGTGTGTGTGTGTGTGTGTGTGAGAGAGAGAGAGAGAGAGAGAGAGAGAGAGAGGGAGAGAGAGAGAGAGAGAGAGACGAATACGTAGGTAGTCATTTGAATGCATATACTGTGAGCATAGGACAGTGTGTGTGTGTGAGAGAGAGAGAGAGAGAGAGAGACAGACAGACAGACAGACAGACAGCGAGAGAGAGACGAATACGTAGGTAGACATTTGAATGCATATACTGTGAGAGTAGGACAGTGTGTGTGTGAGAGTGAGGCAGAGAGAGAGAGAGAGAGAGTGACAGAGAGAAAGACGAATGCGTAGGTAGACATTTGAATGCATATACTGTGAGAGTAGGACAGTGTGTGTGTGTGTGAGAGAGAGAGAGAGCGCAAGCTATTATTGAGTAGAACATAATTTCCAATATATAGAATGAGAGATATTTCAGATTTGAGATAATGGCAAAACAAAAATATTTATGTCAGATGAGAGAGATGGGGTGGGAGGGGGGATTGGTGTATTTAATTTTGTCCCCTCCTCTCTCCCACTCCCAAACGTGTCTATTCCGCCATACCGAGCGTCACTTTGTACACAACAACATCGCTAAAAACAACTGGGCTAATGTGAGACGCCTGTATATAACTATTCTTCAACATTAACAACACGTTACTATTCCGGAACTTTCACACACACGTCAGTCTAAATACACAAACGTACCTTGTCTGGCCCGTCTCAGAGTTGACATAACTGCTTTTGTAGAAGCCAACAATTGCTCTGGTGAGCGAGCCGTCAAACTGAAGGGAAAGTTTAACACTTGCACCTTCCCTCAATGTCACAGCTGTTTCAATGACCCAGAACTGGTTTTCAGCATACGCAAATGTCCTCTTAATGCCGATCTGGTTGCCTGTGCTATTTTCACGGAGCTCAGTTTTCGTGATGTTGAGGTAATTAAAATGAATAAGCACATAGTCCGTGTCCTTGTTGATTCTTATTTCTATTGTAACATTTCCATAAAACCACCCGTTATCGTCATAGAAATCCGGGTACAGAGTAAGATCGTAGTGCAGAGGTACAATATATCGGGGTAGACGGAGGTTCTTCCAAGGTTCTGTTTCCGAGAAACCAGGGGTGGTTGGAACGGATGGTGTGGTGGACCCATCCCCTGAAATCTTCTCCGATGAAGGATCATTTTGGTCACACTTCGGGATAAAATACCATACCAACACACCCACTACAACTGGCATAATAAGAAGAAGGAATATTAAAAAGTAAAGACATCGTCTGTTGACATTCACCTTGCTAGCGTCCCGGAAATCCATTACTGCAACAACGAGCTGAGCCCGTGCCCCTTCAACTCCGCAGATTCACTCCAGGTCCTACGCCCTCCCCAAGGAGAATGAGTACAGCGGATGTATCGGTGGTAGTTGACAAGTGTACTGGTCGCGTCTGGTGTGCGTTACCTGTGGTGAGAATGCCTGCACACACAGTGAACGCTGTGCGACTGCTTGGGGAGGGAGAACACATTAAGACGCGTAGTCCACGCTCGGAGTACACATAATGAGAGTATCCTCGCTGCCAACGGGCGCGTGTCCGGAATGCTGGCACCTATATTCGTCTCACCACACTGATTATTTGAGCTTGGTAATCAACACACCAATCCTCCATAACATCGCTCTCACACCATTTACTAATTTACTTGTATTTAGATACTGGAGAATCAAAAATGACAAATAACAATATCTTTTACGGAATCCAAAATTAAAAGTATTACTAATATGAAATTATTATTTATGTTTGTAAGAAAAGAATTAATAGACAATAAAAACAGAAGTCAGTAACATATGGCTCAATCAACCTATCATGCTTTTCTTCACTGAGATTCGACTGTTGCTTAGAATTTACCGTATCTTGTCTAATTTGCTTTGTAATCAAAACATGTAGAAACTCGGGCCCATGCAAACAATGTGAGAGTGAAAATCGATCTCCTCTCTGTCGCATCTTGGCAAAGGGGGATGACTCTAATAGATAATTGTGAGATTGCAGCCTTTCAGGAAGTATATATAATTCAAACAAATCATCACCTTCTATAGAAGTGGATGCTCAGCGAAGTGGACCTCTCAGGACGTCTTGTGTTCACAGAACCCCAGACACGAACTAATGCAAAATGACCATTTCACTACAAGCTGGTCTTAATGTTTCCTTACCTCATGCAGAGGGGCACGAGTGATCTAGAGCTATTCGCTGAGTTACGGCTCTTAACCGCGCCAGGATCCTGGAGTGAAATCACAGCTTGGGCCTAATTATTATCACCAAGGTTGAGGTTAATGGGGAGTAATGTCGTGTTCAGGTTGATTGCAATGTTTATGGTTGTGTCTTTTATTTATTTAAGCGCCCGTACTGAAATACCATATCGCCGTCTGGTCCTTGTATCAGCCCTTTAAAGCCAATCACTGGGTACTGTGGCATGCTATCCTTTAACGTATTTTTGGTTCGACTCTGCCGGGGACCGAAGCTCCCTCTTTGCTATGTCCACTACACCTCGGAGGAAGTATACTTTCCTCAGCAACTTGGCGCTATAACCCTTTTCACTAAAGTGAATATTGTCAACAGTACGTGTCCCTTGAAATGTTTCTCTCACATAAAGTTGACAAACCATGGAACATTGTTCAAAGACGCGTTCATTCGGAAATAAGAGCAACACTGCTAGGACTGAGGAAAATATATGTGCATGTGAAATATTTCATGCTGCTTCGGGTGGCTGTTTGACATGGTGCCCAATTTCGGATTTTACAAGGAGATTGTATTCAGTGCCAGGAAGGATAATAAAGTATCACCAGCAGTAGGATTTGCGAATAAAAGCTGGGGTGAGTGAGTGTGTTTAGTGTTACCCCCTATTTAGCAATATTTAAGTATATCACGGCGGGGAACAACAGCATGTCCCCCATTCTTGCTGGTCTATTCTTTTATGCATGTGAATTACAACTTCCGCAAGGACGGGCAACACTAGAATATGGCCAAGAGTGAGTGAGTTGAAATCTAACGTCGCTAAGCCATATTGCGACCCTAAGAAATTAAAGTAAGCTTCTGAGCAATATCTAATTGATCTGATATCATTCAAAAATCTCAAAGGGGCAGTTACCACGGAGTAACCCACCGTAAGTAGGAATGAAAGAAACAACAGAGAGGATATTTCATGTTTCTAGTGAAATATGATGTATCTGTCATCGAGTGACGTGAAAAAGGAAACGAGGATACGGTATATTTCAGAGACACACGAAATATTCTTTTTTATTATATGCTTCCAATTTTGTTGAATTGAATTTAAACAATATCATTCCGAAAAAATCAGCTGTAGATTATGCTAATTTATCATGGACGCAGACACAAGTTTGTATCGCTATATGTGAAACGGTTCAGAGTGAGTGAGTGAGTTAAAATTTAATGTCACCTCGGCATGAATAAGTTCAAAGTGTTGTCAGATGGTGTTGATGACGCCATTCGACGTCATCATTAGTTCTGTTGAGATGATATATTTGACTCCTAAAATGGTATTTTTACCTGATACGATAACCTCACTTGATGCACATTTACTGCTGTATCTGGGGGGTAATTACCTGTCGTAGTCTCCAGGTGATATATAAGGTATGAACCAAGACAATATCCATCTGTTATACGAACACGCCTAATTGTAGCTCCAACTGTAGCTCATTCAAAACCCTCATTATGTCCATCCAAGTATGCAGGAACGTTTGGGTGACAAAATAGACCTTTTTGTAATGTACATTCACCTAACATCCTTACTTTATGATAACACTTGTCTTACAAACACATAAATCTAATAACACGAAACAATGGTACCCTTGAGTTACCCTTTCCCAATCTTAAAAATCTACATTTGAAAATATCTTTGTGAATGTTATTAAGATGCAGTCGTTGTGTGAGGAATGGCAGGCAGAAGCGTGGTGAAATATCTGCTCAAATATTTAAATAACATATAACTTTTTATTGCTATATATTTAGTATTGTGTAATGTTCTGGAAGTGTCACATTTTTCTTCGCAGTCTCTGAAAATGTGCAATGTATACGTGTGTGTACTCTCTGTAATACGACCTCTGTGTGTTGCTATGTGTCTGTGTCCCTTGTCCGTGTGTATACGTGTACATGTGTGTACTTCTTCTAAAGCTGACGATACATGACACCTGAGCTGACGATACATGACACCTGAGCTGACGATACATGATACCTGAGCTGACGATATATGACACCTGAGCCCATTTGAAAGTCTGCAAAGTAGCGACGCATCAACTGCCTGTCAATTTGAGGTGTCTTAACCTGCCTGGCAATGAGACGAGTGCAGTATGTCACGTGTTTTCACACTTGGGCCAGTGTTTCCTATCTTCCTAGTAGCCTACGGAGTGGTTATTTGTAGTCATCTTCACACCAGACGGATCACTTGCACAAGTTGTAAACATGACAAAGCCCGCGGAGTTATTGGAGAGGAGATGCGGTGAGAGGGTTAGTTCTGTTATAACCCCATATGTTACACGATAAGGGCTAACCTTTGTAAAATGATCCATAAACCTGATTATAAGCTGTTATGACGTTTGTATTGTGTCTTTTCTGGTATCAGTGTTATATCAAGCATGTGTCAAACAATTTTACATATTTTCTTTATAAATAACACAATACACTTGCAACGTTTCTTATCACGAATGTTGATAGCTTTATGAAGTCTTGATGAGTCAGATTTGACACAATCACGTTCTACACAAAGGCAGTTGCTCCTATTGCTTATATCAACTGTCGTTAATCTACCAGGTAAAGTTATCCTTCATGGGGGATCTATCCATCAGGTTAATGTATTCGTCATGGTCACCGATCCACCTATCTATTGAGATGACCTACCCACCGGGACCGTGGGACCTTCTAATTGCCTCGGTCTGTGTATCAGTGTTGTTTCATCGCAGTGTCATCTATCTATCGGGGCATCATATAATGATAATAATAGTCGTTAATTTATCATGCGCATTGCCCCATGCACAATGCATGTTCGAAGCGCCCAAACAATCTGAACATTATTACCCCGGATAACCCAAGCTGCTGGTTAGGAAAGAAGTTTATACCCACATGACTTTGTCCCACCGGGTACCCACTTCCTGCTGGGTGGCCAGAGGCAATTTTGAACAAACTCACTTGCCAAAGGTGAGACCACATGTATCACACGTGCTTCTTTGTGGGGCAGGACCGAAGTCCAAGAAACTCTCAGGAGTCAAGCTGCCAAACACAGTCACCCATCCAAGGACGTCCAACGTAGCTTAACTTCACCTCATTTGTGACCTGAACTCTATTCACAGGACCACGTGCCACCACATATCTGCCATGTCTACCAGGACCGTCTACTCATCAGTGTCATCTATCCTTCATGGTACAGTGTAATGTATCTGTCATGGTCATCTGTCAAAGTCAGCTACCTATCAGGATCATCTGTCTCTCAAGCCATCTGTCTATCAGGGTCAACTGCCTACCAGGGACACCCACCCATAAGGTTCACTTGTCTATCAGGGCCAACTGTCTATCAGAATCATCTGTATATCAGGGTCATCTGTCTATCAGGGCAATCTGTCTATCAGGGTCATCTGTCTATCAGGGTCACCTCTCTATCAGGGCCATCTGTGTATCGGGATCACCTCTCTATCAGGGTCATCTGTCTGTCAGAGTCACCTCTCTATCAGGGTAGTCTGTCTATCAGGGTCATCTGTCTGTCAGGGTCATCTGTCTATCAGAATCATCTGTCTATCAGGCCATCTGTCCATCAGGGTAATCTATCTATCAGGTCTTCTGTCCATCAGGATCATCTGTCTATCAGGGTAATCTTTCTATCAGGGTCATCTTTCTATCAGGGTCATCTGTGTATCAGAAGCATGTGTCTATCTGCATCATTTGTATATCAGGGTCATCTTTCTATCAGGGCCATCTGTGTATCGCGGTCACCTCTCTATCAGGGTCATCTGTCTGTCAGAGTCACCTCTCTATCAGGGTCGTCTGTCTATCAGGGTCATCTGTCTGTCAGGGTCATCTGTCTATCAGAATCATCTGTCTATCAGGCCATCTGTCAATCAGGGTCATCTGTTTATCAGGTCTTCTGTCTATCAGGGTCATCTTTCTATCAGGGTCATCTGTCTATCAGGTCTTCTGTCCATCAGGATCATCTGTCTATCAGGGTCATCTTTCTATCAGAGTCATCTGTCTATCATGGTCATCTGTGTATCAGAAGCATCTATCAATCAGGGTCATCTGTGTCTCAGGGTCATATGTCTATCATGGTCATCTTTCTATCAGGGCCATCTGTCTATCAGGATCATCTGTCTATCAGGGTCATCTGTGTCTCAGGGTCATCTGTCTATCAGGTCTTCTGTCTATCAGGGTCATCTTTCTATAAGGGTCATCTGTCTATCAGGGTCATCTGTGTATCAGAATCATCTGTCTATCTGCATCATTTGTCTATCAGGGTCATCTGTATATCAGGTCATCTGTCTATCAGGGTCATCTGTATATCAGGTCATCTGTC